CCAAAAAAGCCTTGCATATTCAAAAAATATTCGAAGGGATAACCCGGTTTCATATCGCATTAAATGAGCAATGTGTACGAAGGGGCAGAAAGTTATAATGATTTCTAAACCGTGTTCATTCTGACGCTTCGGTATTGGAAGAAGTGTGAGCGCCGTATTTTTGACTTTCCACACGCAAAACCAAACATGCCGACTAATTGGTATTAGTCGGATGTACGGGGGGCAATTATGGAGACCGAATAAAATCAATGAGGAAGAGGCCAAGGCATTTGACCGAGACATCAGGCCGAAGGCAATTCGGCCCTAACCAGGGGCTCATGAAGTCGAATATACGAATCGACCATATAAGGAGCCGAATGGGAGCCAACACTCAACTAGAAGGCTGACTAAGTAATTATGTGCGAGATCAAGAGTAGGCCCAACCCTTGGGCCCAAATGTAATATAAAAAGGGAGGAATGTCAGCCAAAGTGAGGTATGTGAGAATATACAAGATAACTTGAGATGGAAATAAATTGGAGAGAATATTGACTTGTCCGTCGGAGTGCTAATTCTGGCACCCCTGACCGGAGTGTTCATCCATTTTTTAGGTAGCAATCAGAGGATCAAGGACATCTAACTGGATTTTGGAGTATTTCCAAATCACTTCACCACACATATCAATATCATTAACATTATTAGTCTATTCTTCTAAGGCAATATCTTTTTCTTTTTCTTTTTCTATATCTTCGAAGTTTTTTAGGATATTATTTTCTTTTTCTTTTTCGGCGTCATCTTTTATCATTATTTGTTCTAAGTCTTTAAGGGGCATGTGTTTCTGCCACAACCTAAACCCGTCCCTATAGGTTTAGTATCATAACTAGCCAGTAATCTTAGGATTACCACTGACTTTTGAAACAGATTACCCAAAATATAGGGCTATCATAAGCAAATATACAAAATACAATGTTCATAGAGTTGTGTAGACATATATGGAACATAAAATTTCAACTTATATACATATATGATGCCATCACCATATCAGCCTTACGTCATCTTAAAAACAAATAACCCAAAATGGGACTTAGCCCAATACATAGAGTGCACAAAAACTTGTTTAGACATAAATAAAAGAAAATGAAAATCTTAAAACTTAATTCACAGATTTGACCACTCGAAGCATTTCGGGAACCTCCTCGGGAGGCGCATAGGTTGGCCGATACAAAACAGATCTAGGCAGTAGCTTAGGCATGATCACGTGCCTGATTGCCTACATGCATAAATAATACAGTGAGTTGAAGCCCAGTGAATAACAATAGAAATGTTTTATGAATGATGTCCATAATAGATTTAGAAATCAGAGTTAAGTTCAGAAACAAATTCATATTCATAGCAAATTCTCACAAATAATCATACGTGGTACATACGTGGTATATCCAATAGCACTAACAGATGACTCATGATTACATGAGAGAGTACATATGACCCATAAAGGGACATATACAAAGCAGATAAACAGTTATACATAACCAACCTTGGTACCAGATTATATAACAGATATCATATGATGCTAAGGATACCACAAATACATTTTAGAAAGTTAGACAATCATTCATTTAATCATAAAATAGCATTTCAGAAAATAAATCATATCATATCATTCAGAAAACACTTAAAGTTGAACATAGCTTTACAAAGTTATTACTCACAGAAGCTCCAGTAACAAAACAGATAGAGTAGACAGATCAAATGAACTATGGCGCGTGACCTACACAAATGCGTAACAAATATATGATGAAACACACGCTCTACTTTTGCTTAAACTTATTACTTTTCTTTCTTTGTGTGTTTCTAAGCCTTATCCTCATTACTATAACTTAATCATGGTTTAGGAATGCCTTAGATGCAATGAGGATGCAAAAATACACTTTGGACCACTTAGCCAAATTTATGAAGACAGGGAAGTTCGCTCGAGCGAATCTATAAAGTCTGTAAAAGTATTGGAAGCTCTCATTTCACACTCAAGCCAACTTTTGGTCGCTCGAGCTAAGGCTGAAAATAAATGGTGGTCGCTCGAGCGGTCTTTTGGTCGCTTAAGCCAACCATCAACCTCTACAAAACTTCTGAAAGCTCAAATTTTACGCTCGAGTGAAGCTTTGGTCACTCTAGCCAAGTGCTCATATCTGCAAAACTATTGGAAGCTTGTAACATGCGTTTGAGTGAAGACTTTACCGCTTGAGCGAACACTACAAATTTTGGAATTTCCAAATTTGCTCTCCAAGTCCAAAACTCAATTCCATTGCACAAAATCATGTTCTTTTGGGCCAAATCTTAAAAAAACAGTTGTAAACTCATAAGAATTCATGAATTGAAAGCCCTTTTGTAAAATCAAGACCCAAAAGTAATTCAATTGTTCAAAAGCAAAGCTTGAAACTTTGAATATATGACATGCATATAATGATATGAATTCCTTGCTTTCAAAACATGAACCATTGAGGTAATTTGGTATGAAACTTTATGAATTCTCAAGACAAAAGTTAAGATGAACACATGTATGTGATAATTCTTTGAAATCAAACCCCAAATTGTGATGAAATGGACATGCATGCATGGAATGCACTTCTTTCCTACTTCCTTTGCTTATTTCTAACACTTACTTCCCAAAATCATGCAATTGAGCTTATGAACTTCATGAACTTAACTCTACCTTGGCATAATTACAAGAATTATAGTTGAATGACTCACCTAAGGTTTGAATTCAAAAGTTAATTAGCTCAATTCTCCAATTTTTCTTCAATTTCCTCCTCCTACAATGTTGAACACAACTCTCCCCCTTCCCCTCTCTCTCTCTCTCTCTCTCTCTCTCTCCCCATATTTTTGTGTCAAGGAAGATGATGAATATTGAGTTCTAGAAGCTATATTGGCCTTATATAGGTCCAATTAGCTTAGACTAATTAAACATGTTTAAATCTAACCAAGCTAATTAACTATCATTTATTTTGATTCTAATGATTTAATTCCAAATCAGTTTTCAATTAAATCTATCATAAAATTTTAAAAATCGCAAAAACACAAAAACCCAAGCAATTTCGTGCTCAATGGTCGATAAGGCCTTCAATTCACGCATTGAAATAGAAAGTCAAACAGATATTCATACTATGGATATATATAAACACAAATAACATAATACTCATGCATTTAACTCAGAATTTCCTCTTAATTACTCATTAAGCACTCTTAATCAATGATGATAGACTGATCACAAGTCGGGGTTGTTGCAGTTTCATTTCTCCAAAGTTGATTAATTCTAATTGTTTATAGCACTACAACAAAACTAACTATTTACGGCATCATGCATTAAATGCATGTCGGAGTTAGTACATTCTACGACATTTTTTTTTTTTTTTGCAAGCCGTTAATGTTTTGTCAATAATAGCATACATACCATGTAAGTCGTTGATTCATATATTTATAGCATGCAAAAGTATGCCGTAAAAAATGTACTCCCTCCGTCCCAAAATATTAGTCCCTTATTCCATTTTTCATTGTCCCAAAATATTAGTCCCTCTTCAAAATCAAGTACAAAAATAATATAAATTTCCTATTTTGCCCTTCTTTTAAATTAATAAACAATATAAAAAGTACAATAATGACATTGATATTCCCAAAAAATGTACTATCAAAAGGGTAATTTTGGAAAATTAACTTTTTTCAAATGCAATAATTGTACTACCAAAAAAAGTTGGATTCCCCAAAAGGGACCATTATTTTGGGACGGAGGGAGTATGTTTTTACGACTTATAAAAATATGTCGTAAAATATTTGCACTTAAGACGAGTATTACCGTCGGTTTGTGAAAGATTTTTCTAGATTAGCCTCACCATTGACTAGACTGACGAGGAAGGGAACTACATTTGTGTGGAGTGAGACTTGTGAGAAGTCGTTCCAAGAACTTAAGGTTAAACTTACCACTGCTCCAATATTGACTATTCCGGAGAGGGGTTTGGACTATTCAGTATATTGTGATGCGTCTCAAGAAGGTTTAGGTTGTGTCTTAATGCAAGAAGGAAGGGTAGTAGCATATGGCTCACAACAGTTCAAATCACATGAGAGAAATTATCCTACTCATGACCTAGAGCTAGCAGCGATGATCTTTGCGTTGAAGATTTGGAGACATTATTTGGAGGCCTTTTTCGATCATAAGAGTTTGTAGTATCTGTGACATACATTTCATGTTGTAAAATAGTATAACTTTACACGGCATGCATTAACATGTCGTGAAAGCTTTTGCAAAAAAAAAAAAAAAAAATTCAATCCAAATTTTTTTTATGGCATGCAAAAGCATGCCGTAAAAAATGTATATTTTCACAACATACAAAAATATGCCATAAAATATTTGTACTTAAGACGACATACATTTCATGTCGTAAAATATTATAACTTTACACGGCATGCATTAACATGTCGTGAAAGCTTTTATTATAAAAAATTTCAATTTGATTTTTTTTTTGATTTAAAAAAACTAACAATTTCCAACCAAGTTTCTCACCTTAAATTTTCCTAATTGAGGAAAACGTAAAAAATAATTTATACATTATTTTATAATTTAGTGTCTATTTTAAGGGATAATTTACACCCAGTGGGGTTTTGGGAAAAAAAATTACATATTCATGAAAAAGTTTATAATTTTAATGATTAATATTTATATGGCTTCTCACTAATTTGTAATTTTTTTTTAAATTACCTTGATTTGATATTTTCCCTTCTTTTAATAATTTATTTATTTATTACTTTTTAGATGTGCCTAATATGAATACAACTAAAAAATAAAATATTTGTAAAAAAATATAATATATATGAAATGTATTAAATTTTATATTTTTTTGAATTTAGTGATTTTTAAAAAAAAAATTAAAAAAATATTTTTCTTTTAAGTATATGTAAATTATTTGAATTTAAATGTAAAAAAAAAATTATTGAAAATATTTAAAAACTTGCAATATCTAAAACAAAAAACTGAAAAACATTATTTTAGGCCTCGTTACTCTCTCACTCACTCTCTGGGTCTCGACCTCTATCTCTCAACCCTCTCTAAACCCTAATCTCTCTCAACCGATTGAATCAACCTTCTTCAGCCCCGTTTGATCTAATCACAGAGCAATTGGTGATTCATCTCAGATCCAATCTCAGAACGATTGGCAATTTCGATTTTGAGATTTCGAAGCTCCATCGCCTCCACCATCTGCACCGGCGAGGGGAGTGAGCACCATTGTCTATTAAGGTGAGCACCACCGTTTCTTTCTCTCTCTCTCTCTCTCTCTCTCTAGCTCTTCCTTCTCGTCGAGTTTGGTCAGATAACGAAACTAGTGCATTTCATTTAAGAATTTCGTTGTTTGAGCAATTTGTTGTATAATAATTTGTTGATGGAATCTCAATTAAATTCCACTCCAGTTTTCGTGTTTCATGTTCATGCTTCTTGTGCACACTGCACATGCCTTTTCCTTAACAAAATTTCTTCTAGTTGTAGTGATAGACAAATTTTCTGTTTCTCTGAAAAACTTTATGGACCTTTATTTCCTTTGCTTGTTTTATGAATGGATTTGAAGACTTTGAAGACTTAAAGTTTTATTATCTTTGTTGTCTGTTGGATTTTATTTGTATTTTGTGTGTAGAGGATTACTGTTTGTGACTAGATATTAGGAAAATGATATTCATCAATAATCTTCATTTATTGTAACAATTTGCTGAAAAATTTGGTTCATTTATGGATGGAGTGGAGGCAGAGCCATGTGCGGCAATTCTGTTTGGCGTTCACTTCAATGTAATTGTAATTTAAAGCTTCAATTGTAATTTAAAGCTTTGAAATATAAGATTTTCGAGTCACAACTGTATAGCTGGAAGTATATTAAGACATGCATATATTTTAGAACAAAAGATAAAATTCTCATATCCATTAATTATAGTTTCTAGCCACAAGGTAAAGGGCATTTTTCTTGTGCATTGTTATACCAGGCATCACCTCAGTGTCTAAATCTTCCTTCTTCATCCCATTAGGCAGTTCCTAATCAAATGAATAGAGAAGATTAACATGTGTAAATTCCACTGTCACAGCACCCATGTAGATCCCAGGGCAACCTCTTCGACCGGCACCAAATGGAACAAGCTCAAAATGTTGACCTTTGAAGTCAATAGCACTTCCCAAGAATCTCTTAGCGAAGAACTCTTCTAGGTTGTCCCAAGCTTTGGGGTCTCTTCCAATGGCCCACGCGTTCTCATTGTTTCTTTTACTATAGCCTTGAGGTATGGAAGCTTTTGAAGATCATGAGTAATGCTAGGCATCATGAAAGAAATATCATAAAAAGCTTCATGAAGATTCTCTATCCTTGGATTACACACAATGAAACACCACACACTAATCGAATGAGCGAAGAAGCACTGACACTCCAAGATAGGTGCCGATGCTGTGTCCGACAAGTGTGTCCACATGGTATTTATAGTTTACTTTCTTATGTTGTGCAAATGCTCATGAACCCGCATCATAGCTGTGTTTTTTTTTATTCCCAGTAGTTTCAATTTTCTATGGATGATACTGCTTATAGGAACTTCATATTACCCTGTTTTCTGCAGAGAAAACCACTTGATTGGCAGGATTTTGTTGGGATCATTACTCTGCTTTTTATCAATTCTATTTTAAGTTTTATTGAGGAGAACAATGCTGGTAATGCTGCTGCGGCTCTCATGGCCTGCCTTGCACCAAAAGCAAAGGTAATGGAATTTGGTCTTTAGAAGAATTCAAAAAAATTCTACCTTCACACATATATGTAACTTGCTTTTCCAGTTTTTTTAAGGCTGGATTATGACTTACAATTTGTATCTTCTATCCTAAATTGATTAATCTAAAACAAAAAATCATAGGTTCTTCGTGATGGAAAATGGAGTGGGGAATATGTAGTTGTTCTTGTTCCAGGTGATGTAGTTAGTATTAAACTTGGTGACATAATCCCTGCAGATGCTCGTCTCCTTGAGGGTGACCCATTGAAAATAGACCAGGTGCTTGTGACTACTATTATTCTGTTGATTGAAGTTGGTTGATTTCATCGTCTAATAATCAAGCTATCTAACTGGAATACTTCTATATGGGTTTTGCAGTCTGCACTGACAGGTGAGTCCTTTCCTGTGACAAAAAGCCCTAGGGTTGGGGTTTATTCAGGATCCACTTGCAAACAGGGAGAGATTGAAGCAGTGGTCATTGCCACCGGTGTCCACACCTTCTTTGGCAAGGCTGCTCACCTTGTGGACAACACAAATCAAGTGGGCCATTTTCAGAAGGTATGGACATTCAAATATAACTTTGTTTTGTTCAAGATCATAGTCATGAAAAATATGAAATAAAAGAATTAAGGTATTCAGGAGATGATAGACAAAAATGTCTAATTTGTTCCTCAAGTACACTTAATTCATTCCTTTTCACATCAACATATGGCTCCCAGATATTCATAATATGTATATTCAAAATCCACTGACTGACTGTTGACAAAAGTATTATTGAGGTTGTTTGGGGGACTGTTTGCTTTAGATTGAATTTCTAAATTCTGTAATGTAGTTCATGTTCCAACCTTTTGTCTGGATGTATTCTCATAGGTCTTTGCTAGAGGAGTAGACGGAGAGGCTGTAGTTTTGATGGCTGCTAGAGCCTCCCGAGTGGAAAACCAAGATGCAATAGACGATGCTATTGTCGGGACGCTGGCTAATCCAAAAGAGAGTGTTAATTAGTATACAAACTTTCTACTACATAGGATCGGGGTGCAAAAAAAGTTTATACTTCTGATTTTGAATTGCTGAAACAAATGCACCATAATATTGAGTGAGATTTTCCTTCTGAATGACTTTTGTTATCAATTCTCCATTTAATGTGTGTTCCTATTTTTCTTCTTTGACTTCTACTAAAAACTAAGGCATGAGCTGGCATTCAACTAATAAGTGAATAGCTCTGACGTATATTGACAGTGAAGGTAAAATGCATCGAGTCAGCAAAGGTGCACTAGAACATGTATATTAATTAGTAACTGTTTCCATTATATCTTGCATCTGATATTGCTTCTTTTTTTTTCCTTTTTATCTTTTTTTGTGCCTAAATCATAAATCACTTTATTGCAGAGCTTGAGAACACCCCAAATAATTAAAGATTTCCAATATGCTGCCACATTTCATGATCTCAACAAAATAGGAGTCTCTGTTTGACTTGGGCTTAAAAGCTGTTTTTTTTTTTTTTTTTTTTTTTGGCTTGGGCTTAAAAAGCTGTTTTTTTTTTTTTGACTAAATAAGCCAAAAAGCAAAAACACTAAACTCCACCCAAGTGTGGAAATGTTCAAATGTGTTTGGATTAATTTAGGTATTTGCTGATAGTGCATTAGTGGAGCTGACATTGTTGTCTAACTGGCCTTAATGATTTTCTCATGAGTAATGATGATTGTCTCGTTGTTTGTTTCTTTTCATATATTATTTTTTTCTACATTTCTTGGTGATTTATGCCCATATTTATATTATTTATCTGGTTTTACTTGTTGAAGTTGGCTCCTTATCAACCTTGGGGTCAATGTCAGCATAGAATTGGGTCATACAATATCAGTCCCAATCTTCTTGAAATCTGCAGTGAATCACTGATTGTTTTTTTCTGGGTAGGTCTTTGCTTTCAATTTTTTTTTTCTTTTCTTTCCTTGTTTTAATAAATGGTGGATGGTTTTTATTTTGTTTATAAGTCTTTGCTTTCATTTTATTTTATTTTTTTTCTTTTCTTTACTTGTTTTAATAAATGGTGGACAATTTTTTATTTGTTTATAAGTACCTAACGGCTATTAGTATTATTTTGGATCTTCAGTTTCTATTATGTAATATTGATATAAATCATGGAGTACAATACACCATACACTATCATATTATAGCAACATCTGATGTAATATTCATTTCATTTATCATGTATTTTTTTTTCCTGATTAATGTTCTGTTTGCTTTCGAATTGCCATAGTTCTCTCTCTCTCTCTCTCTCTCTCTCTCTATTGCTTGTATGACGTATAACAGTGTGTTGTGCAATTTGCAGGATCTACTACTATTCTTTGCCTTGATCCTGACTCAATCTATTGCCTTTTGAGGTATGTATATATATATGTTGTTGAAGCTATTATTGATTTTCTGTTTGTTTATGGAGTTTTTTTGTTTTTTGGTGATATCTTTTATTCTGGAATAGGATTGTTGGATTGGGAGTGGGAGTCTTCCTTCTTCTAGCTCTTAAAATCAGTGTGCCAAAGGTTGATTCTTGGGATGTAGTTTTGGTTGTAAAACAAAACCCAATTATTATTATTATTTTATATTTTATATTTTATTATTATTATTAATTTTTTGTAACAATCTGATGCATCTATCTGCTTTTCTTTTCTTTTCTTTTGTTCTGTACTCTTTTTGTTTCCCATTCAAATTTTCTGAAACAATGCATGTTTTCTTTGAAGGATGCAACTTTTTATTTTACGGTCTTGTGATCTATAAGTTTTTGAACCATGTAAAATACCAATGATATATTCTTTGATTTGTTTCTGTTCGTTTATTTATGCATGTTGTGTTCCCCCCCTCCCAGAAATTAGTAGGTGGAGTTGTATATTTAAAGTCATATTTTGGAAATTAGTGAACCATATGATTTGAATACTTTTCTTAGTTTATACGTTTGTGAGGTTGTTATTAGCTTGATATGATAGAAATTGAGGATGGAAGCTAGTATGCACGTTGTTTGGTATGTGGATGTTAGTTTTTGTCCTTAATTCATAGTGGCTACTTCTGCTTGATTTGTTCACAAGTTGCTACACTTTATAAGCTGCTGCCTTTGTTTGGAGGTGCATACGGCTAGGCAAGGTTATGTTCTTGTGTGTGTGTGTGTGTATATATTAAAAATAACTTTTTACGGCATGTAAAATTATGCCGTGAAAAGTGTAATGATTTATGACATGCAAGAAAATGTCATAAAATATTATATATGGCATACAGAGTATGTCGTAAAAAGTCTAATGATTTATGGCATGCAAAAAAATATCGTAAAAGATTATATACGGCATACAAAGTATGTTATAAATATATTAAAAATAACTTTTTACGGCATGCAAAATTATGCCATGCAAAATATAATGATTTATGGCATGAAAAAAATTTCGTAAAAACTTACATACGACAAACAAAGTATATCATTAATATTTAATTTATTACTTTTTACAACTTTACCTGCATGCCATAAATGATGCTCAACTTTTCACGACATGTCATATAACGACATTTGTGTGCATGCCATGAAAGAGTTTTTATGGCATGCATTGCAAGTCGTGAAAATTCAATTTTGTTGTAGTGTAGATATCTTCTTTTAATTCTATTCTCTCATTATTTATTTCTTCAATTATTTCTTCATCTATCATATCTAATTGTTAAGCTATTTATAATATTATTGTCTATTTTATTTTATTATCATTTTCTTTTTCAACCATTTCTTCTAACTGTTTTAAGTTATAGTTACTTAACTCCATTATCTTTTTGTTTTGCAAATGAAACTAATTCAAAGAGTTCTTCCGGATGATTTTCTTTATATGGATAGAGATATAGATCTAATTTTTTTTGTTTTTCTTCAAAAATGGCTTCTTGTTTTTCTAAATCTTGTACAAAATGTCTAATTTCATTTATTATTTCTAATTGATTAGTTTTAAGTTTTTCATTAATTTCTTTTAATAGCTTAATTAAGGTATTATTTTGTTCTATTATTTTTTGTAAAAAAAGTATTATTATTTAAGTTATCAGATTCTATTTTTTCACTATATTTAATACTTATCCAAAATATTTTTGGCAAGGTCAAGAAATCGGGTTCTGATACCAATTTTTATTATGGATTTGCGGATCTAATTTAATATTAACTCTTGTAAAATCTTTCGTTGATATTCTATACTGATTTTTTCTAAGGATATTTTTTCCTTAATGCTAGCAATTTGCTAGCTATAATTTATTACAGATTGTCCCGAGGCAATAGCCAAAAAAAGTTTAATCTATTTACACTATAGCATATAAGAGATTTAAAGACCAAATGTTTTGGTTTCTAAAAGTGAAAATTTTATTGCAAATGACATTTAACGACTAATTTCTAACGTCATGAGGATAGCCGCTAAAAAGTTATCTCGAAAGTAAAAAACAAAGCTTTTAAAGACAAAATTTTAAAAATGTCATTAATAAATAGACTTTTAAGAATAAAATAATTTGGTCTCAAAATGGTTTAGTTTTGTATACAAAAAAAATTGATCTTAAAAGGATTATGATTCATCACTAATGTCTAATTTCCGTTGCTAAAAATATAATGACGATACTTTTCGCAACAAAAATATTTAGTCTCTAAAAAATAATTTTGTCCATAAATTTTGGTCTCTAAAACCATAATCTTTTGTTGTGTTTACTCACATTCTAATTCAAAAATATAATCTAAACTATTTTTTGTTTCAGCTCTTAGTACTGTAATTGAACACATAAAAATACTAATTCTAAGCTTATATGAAAATATAATAATTTTTTATATATAGTTTTTTAATAACTTTTTATGTCATTTATAAAATTTTCAAGTTTTTTGGGGTTGATTTGTAATATGCAAAAGGTAAAGATGATTGGTCTTGACGAGTTGTGTGATGTGGTATGTTTCAGATGGATTTCGGTGGATTCCGGCCTCTGAATTTCGAGCTACCAAGAGTTCTTCAGTACAGAAAAACCACTTTTATGAACACTAGTCGGACCCATAATAGGGGTCTGTTTGGCTTTGGCTTGGTTTTGTTTTTTTTTTGGTCTTGCTTGCTTTATTGGGTTCTCACTAATGGTTTTGGTTTAGTGCTGGTAAATAATTATATTTATTTTTTAGTATAAATCTAATTAGGATCATTAAATATTACTATGATATTTTGTGCACTATTTTACTTTATTGATGTATATCTTAATTTTGTATCTTGATTTTCAATAATAAAATTTCTTCTTTTGTTGATCAAAATAAAGTGAAAGAAACATAACCAAAATTACAAGAAGTAAGCTATTATAATTAAAAAAGCAAAATTAATGTAAAGTATAAGCGTACAAAGTCTAATTAACTCCAACTTTGTTGTTCTCCAGCTCAACGTATAAAACTACAATCCGAGTCATGAACTCGGTTGGGTTTGTCTCAGCCTAGAGTCCACAACTCGACCAATTTGGTCAAAGCGAGACGAGATGAGCCGCCCTCACTCATTGCTTCCTTGGCAGCTGCCTTCATTCTCAGCACTTGCATTCTCACCAATCTTCCATCCTCCGATTCCGATTCCGATTCCATTAATTCTCTAACTCGCTTCTCCACTTCGTCTGCGCTCACAAACCCATCTTCCGATTCCTCCAATGACAAAGCCAGCTTCAATTCTTCCACCATAATAACCCTATTGAACCTCTGCTCTGCATAGAGCGGCCACCCCACCATTGGCACACCTGCACATATTGCTTCCAACACCGAGTTCCACCCACAGTGTGTCACAAACCCGCCTACTGAGTCATGGTTCAACACAGCTACTTGCGGAGCCCATGACTTCACCACAAGTCCCCTCTCTTTCGTCCGATCTAAGAAACCATTTGGAAGCAACAAATCCAAATCAGGCTCAGGTGGTGCCAAGAATCGCTTGCTTTTGTCCTCTGATGGCGGACTACGCACCACCCACATGAACCTCTGCCCACTTCTCTCCAACCCTACTGCTATCTCCTTCAACTGTTCTGATGAAAACAACCCCAGGCTTCCAAAACAGAGAAACACAACGCTTCGACTTGGTTGTGTGTCCAACCACTTTAAACACTCGTGCGAACCACCATCTCCATCGGTTCCGCCATCAACTGCAATTAGTGGTCCAACGCAATAAAGCGGTGGTGTTGGTTCATCCGGCACACAAAGACCATCTGATATTGTTTTGATGGCTTTTGGCTCAAGCGATTCGAATGTGTTGACAATAATTCCGGCAGATTTTGGGAGACTGATTGATGCATTCAAGAAGCCTTCATAGGCTTTATCGTTTCGGTCGAGAATTGGCTTTGGCATGTCAGTGGATGGTATTGGTGGCAGGCCTGGGAAGTCAAGATCACTGTTGAGGTCTTTGAAGCTTTTGGTGGTGTTTCGATGTATGTAGGGGTAATAAAGGAAGGAAATAAGGCAACAAGCACCAGAAGTAAAGAAGTAGTATGCAGGGATTTTCAACTCTGCAGCAACGGAGAGAGCTGGAGTGCAGAAGAAGTCTATGATAAGGGCACGAACATTGCAATCCTTGGAGAAAGAAACAAGGGCTTGGTGGACATTAGGTTTGTTGAGGCGTAGGACTTCAAAGGCTAAGGTTTCATGGTGGGTAGAGGAGATGGAAGGGGGGAGAGAGATGGTGGGGAGGTGGTGGAAAGTGATGGAATTGGTGGTTGCAGATACACGATTGATGTAAGGAGAAATGGAGCCAGAATTGTAAGGTAGGGTAGTGATGAGGATCTTGATAGAGAAAGATGGATAGTGGTTAAGTATAAGCTTTCCAAGCTCTACCATGGAGATAAGGTGACCAATTGCTGGAGAAGGATATAGAACTATGGCATCCTCCATAATTGTCCCGAGAGAGAGAGAGAGAGAGAGAGGGATGATGCCGTGTATATTACTTCCTATTGTTGAGACGATAAGGGAAGTCCTTTTATCAAAGACACAGCCAATGGAATGGTGGACCATGAAAGTGTAGGAAGAATCAAAGTCTTTCTTGTCCTATCTTTTCATAAAAAAATAAGTATTATTTTTACAATATTGATGTCCATAATTTATTACTTTTTTTTGGGTGAATCATAATTTATTACTTAATATTAAAAGATATTAAATTTAATTATTTTAATTGAACAATGACTTACGGCATCTGGAAAGTGTCAAGTCTTTCTTGTTCTATTCATTTATTCAGGAAGATGATTTCCTCACTGGCTCATAATTTCATAATGGATTAGAGGACGTTATTGGATATGTAGATTTTATTACAATTTTTATTTTGATAATTCGAATAATTTATTTTATTAAAAATGTTATGTATTTTAATTACAAAAAAAAATTTAAATTGATGTGATAATTGTAATCTATTTGGGAGATTTATTAAATTTTTTTTTTTCAAATTTTTGTGGCTCAAATGGCTCAAACCTGTCAAAACGACGTCGTTTTGACAAATTTTGAGTGTAAAACGACGCCGTTTTGACAGATTTGAGCCATTTGAGCCACAAAAATTTGAGCTACCAAACATTTTCCAAAGAAAATAGTTTCTAAAAATGGAAATTAGGGGCATTAGGGGTAAATTTTTTAGGGCCACCAATCATTTTCCTAATTTCATAATGGATTAGAGGACGTTATTGGATATGTAGATTTTATTACAATTTTTATTTTGATAATTCGAATAATTTATTTTATTAAAAATGTTATGTATTTTAATTACAAAAAAAAATTTAAATTGATGTGATAATTGTAATCTATTTGGGAGATTTATTAAATTTTTTTTTTTTAAGTTTTTGTTTCTTAATTAATCTATAAGATATTTTTGTATTTTAATAAATCTTATAATTTGAATATTTGATCTATTAAATCTTAATTCTTATATTTAAAATATTTTATGAATATTTTTACTCTTATAAATATTTTTTGAATAATTAATAATTTAATAATATAAATATTTATATTTATATTTTTTACAATATAAATATCCAAATTGATAAGGCACGAACATTGAGACGATCAGGGAAGTCCTTTTATCAAGTATGATGCTTGAAACTATTAATTGAAGTTACCATTAATGATGTGACAGTGAATCTCACTTATGGTAATAATGTGTTTTGTGTCTTATTTTTTTATTTTTTATTTTTTTCATTTTCAACCTCACTCGTGAGAGATTTAGGTCAAGTTTGGCAACCTAAAAATAATTTATCTTTTTATCTTTTTATCTTTTTTTTTATCACATCACCTCTCTATTTTTCTGCATATCTTTTTATAAAAAGATAAAAAATGTATTTATTTAGGTCATCCCAAACAACTCCTTAGTGGGCATTATTTAAATCTCTAAATCATTATAAAAAGACACAGGCAATGGCTAATAATGGTGGACCATGCAAGTGTGGGAAGAATCAAAAGTCTTTCTTGTCCCGTCTTTTCATAAAAATTAAGTACTATTTTCACAATATTGATGTACGTAATTTAGTATTTAATTTATTATTTGAATTGAACAATGACTTACGGCATCTGAAAAGTATAATGGCCTTGTTTGGTTTGTGTTTCTTAAAAAATTTTAGAAATTTTTTTTTATAAATAAGTTTTCAAAAGTAGTCAAACTAAACAAATTTTTCTAAATTTTTTTTCCAAAACTTGTTTGATTTACAAGTTTTCCAAACAAATCTCTCTCTCATACACATCAAATCAATCACTTTTTTTAAAATTCTCTCAAAATAATTTTTCAAAACATCTTTTGAAAAAAAATTAAACTAAACAAATTTTCATACTTTTTATCTCAAAACATGTTTTTCAAATACAAACCAAACAAGCCCGAAGCCTTTCCAGTTCTATTCATTTATTCAGGAAGATGATTTCCTCTAGCTGATATGTAGATTTTATTAGGAACTTTGTTGTGATGTTTTGAATAATTTATTTTATTAACTATGTTATGTATTTTAATTATAAAAAAATTAATTTGATTTCATAATTATAATCTATTTGATTTATTGTGTTTGGCATAAAAAAAATAATATTAATTATGTTTTTAAAATGAGACATTTATTTATAAATCATTTTTCACCTATTTATATTTTACTTAGTTTAAATTATTTTTTTATTTTAATAAGTCGTATAGATGGCATAATTACCAAAATTCTCCCTAATAAAAATAGGGTGAAGGGGGCATTAATGTTTATATTGACAGTATGAATGTTTTATGATATAAACATTCACATTATCAATATGAACATTCACACTGTCAAATTTATTTAATGTGAATGTTCACATCACCAAAGTTGTTAAGAGTTTAAAAAATATTTATAAAAGTAAAATTATTCATAAATACCTTTAAAATGAGAATTAGAATTTAAATATAAAAAATAATAGGACTTATTAAAATACAAGAATATGACTAATTAGAATACAAGTGTTCTTTTTGAAATAAGATATTGATTGTTTTAATAACACACACAATAAACTAAATAAGTTATCAGATTAACCCAACGAATAAAACATACAAAGTATTTAATAAAAATAATTTGAATTATTGAAACGAGACCCTAATGAGTTTTATGAGCCCAAAGAAAGCGGGAATCTGCCTCCTTTATTTAATTGTCTTTTTATTCGTTTTTTAATAATATTATATGTACCAATTAATATACTAATTAATGTATTAACAAATGATATAAAATAATTTTAAAGATTTTTTATTTTCGTAATTCATATAATGAATAAAATCATAATTTTAAAATAAAAATACGTTATAATTATATTAATATATTAATTAATATGTATAACACCACAATTTATTTTTTAAGATGATTGGCTAGGGATAAAACGATTTGGATCTGCATTCCATAAAGTCTCTGTTGACGTAAGACCCACACAATTGGACTAATTATTAGGGGTGTAATTTGGACAGGTTCAACCCGAACAATTCGAGTTCAGTCTGAATTTTTTTAGGGTTGGACAAAATATTTTTAAATTTGGTACGGATTTAGGTAAAAATTCAGAAGTTCGAATTAAATTTGGACAGGCTTGGGCAAAGATGTCAAACAACCCGGGCAACCCGAAGCCTGAATTATACGTATATAGATATATAACAATATTAAATATAAATATAAATTATTAGTCATTCCATGATGTTAAAGTAATTTATGTTATTAAATCATATTGAATATATATTATATATACAAATAACATAAAATCTTACTTTTTTTTCTTTTTCACTCATAAATTATTAGAACTACTATAGTGGCATCTCTCTTATCTTATATAAATTATTTGTTTTGATGGTATTAATGATTTTTTATAATAAAAAAACAATAAAAATTAAAAAATTAAAAAAAAAAACTGAAATTCATTTACAATTCATTCGTGCAACTCGGGCAATTCGGGTTTAGCTCGGGTCGGGCTTGGGCAGACAACCTCGGGTTACAATTCGGGCTTGGGCGGGCTTGGGCAAGTCTCAACACAACTTGAGCTGGGCTTGAACAACCTCTCAACCCGCCCGAGTTGCACCCTTACTAATTATTCATCAGACTAATCGGAAAGAACTGTCTAAGCTTTCCAAAAAGCCTCTGACCACGTGAGACACAAACAATGAGACTAGGGATGTAAATCTGCCAGGCCTGGCCTGGCCCGGTTCGATCCATGTTGAATCTTGCAGATTTCTGTTAAAATTTAGATCGGACCGAGTCTATCTACAGATCAAAAAATTAAGTCTAGATACTAGTCCAAATTAATGGATATTTGGGCCTTGGGTCGGTGGGCCTGGATCTACCATCGGGCTTAGGTTGGACTTGGGTGAGCCTGATTATTTTTTTTTATTTTTAAAATTTTTTCTACCAATTTTTTTTTATTTTTCACTAAAAAAGATAGTGGGACTTGAGCGAGTCAGGTCTTGAGTAGGTCTTAAGCAGGCCGATGGGTTAGGCCGTGAGCCGAGTTTCAAAATGATGGCCTAAGCCCAGGCCCAGGGATTCAATCTGACTCAGGCCTAAATGGGTCAGGCTCACCCCAAACGAATTTCGAGCCACCCATGGACAGTAGACTATTTTTACACTTCTAAATGGAACTAATTATTAATAATTGGAAAAATCAGTCTAATCTTTCCACAAAGTCGGGCATTAAAAAAATTTAAATAAAATAAAAAAATCTCTGTCCACGTGAGACGCACACAATGGGATTAATTATTCATCAGACTAATTGGAAAAATCTAAATCTAATGTTATTTTATTCGCAAAGTTAGATGGTGACCCCCAAAAGGGGGTCCCAAGCATTATTCTTATTTTTTATATTTAATAAGACGGTAGTTTAATAGAATATTTAAATCAAATTTTTTTCTTATATTTTTTCTAATCATCTCTGCTTTGGTTTTGATGAAAAATATTTAAAAATATTTTTCCATGTTTGATGAACAAAGGTGGTGGTGGCATAGTGGGTGAGGTAGTAGCAGTGACAGTGACAGTGGCAGTGGCAGTGGCAGTGGCGATAGTGATAGTGATGGTGATTATGACAGTAGTCGGGGTGATGGTGGTAACGGAGGTGAGAGTGGTGGTAATGTAGTTGTATTTGTAAAACTTTTGTTCAGAAAACGTTTCACCTTTTAAAAGTAAAAAATATTTTTTACGGCTTTTTTTCTATTAATTATGAAAAATATTTTCCGTTAACTTTTATTTTTAATTATACCAAATACCAAATATATATATATATATATATATTTGTCTAAACAAATGAAATGTAAATTTAAAAAATAGATTTATGTATTTTTCAAAATCTAAGATAGTAAAGTGTGACGGGATCAATTTGGGATGGCCTTAGGGTATAAATTTGCCCGGTCCAGCCCATTATCAGGTCGTGTGTCTGATAACCCTGTCACGTATAATATTTTGTATTTAATTAATTGAAGAGATTTGAATTTTAATTAATTATTATTTTGATTTAATTATGGAAT